ACAGAGACAGAGACAGAGAGATTGAGCTTTTTTTCCCTTAGTACGTGTTTGCAGAACATGATGATTACAGAAGCATTCCGTGGCATTTCTAAGAAACCTACATATCCCCATCTCAGAATCCAGCTTTGTTTGAGGAGGGAAGTATTATTCTAATACAAATTAGAATACAAAATATGCATAAACAAATAAACCTACTTAAACTAAAAACATTACAATACTGAAGAAGCCAGAAATTTCCTAAAAATAGAAAATGTAGTAGTGGCATTTTCTCTAGCTCTATGATAATCTTAAAGAGATTAGCTCGTATTCTGTTCTAGAAGGCCAGGGGCTCCAAGGGCTTAGCTTGCCATTGAGCCTGCCCTGCCCTGGTTGAGCTGCTTCCCCGACTGCCGGTTCCAGTGGAGTTATCTCTGCCTTAATGCCTGCTCTGTGTTCATTTCCCTGGATATGGGACAGTTGGTCGTGCCTTTTAAGGATGATTTAAACTTGCATCCTAGGGGTCAGGGAGATGGCCCTGTAGAACAAGCACTTGCCTGGCAAGCACAAGGGCCTGAGTTCAATCCCTGGTTCTGCCAAATAAATAAATAAATTAATTAATAAAATAAAATAAATAAACTTGCATCCTACACCTGTGTTTGTAGTGCTGTAGATTGTGCCAGGATCACATTTAATGAATGAGATTATTTTTCTAGGTACTGAGCAAATATTCTTCTGTGGGGCTTCAATTTGTCTGGTATGGATTAAGTAATACTTTGCTTTGTCCCTTTTTGAGGATTCTGGCTCTGGGCCCTAAATATCTGTTCACTGCGCAGGCCTATCTGTTCAGCATGGAAACCATAATACTTTATTATAATCATTTAGCAAAGATTAACCTAGAATTAACCTGGCATTGTGTGTGTGTGTGTGTGTGTGTGTGTGTGTGTGTGTGCCAGTCTAGCTATCAAATCTGCAGGCAACCTGTGAAGTTGGAGGTGGAACAGCAAGTGAGAGAACATGAACCAGCTGCTGGCCCAAGTCACCCAGCCCTTATTGATACCTGTTCATTGATTTGTGCCTCGTGACTCAAGTCCAGTAGGATCCGACTTGTCACCCACCCCACTACCAAAGATTTCTAAAAAAATTTCAGGGCCTACATGTACACCAGAGAAGGCGCCTTGAATCACCCAAGCTAAGGAAGGGCCATGCTGCCCATTTTGAGTTTTCCTTATGTATCCTTGTTTCAGTGTACCTAATAACTTATTAATGTTTCTGAATATAAACTAACAAACAGGTCACAGCTAGTTTATAGGAGTCGATATAATCATGAACTAAAGTGATACTTATACTAAAGGTTGCAAAACAACAGTATTATTTGTCTGTCTTTTGGGTTTTGGGGTTCTTTATATAGGTTCTCACTGTGCAGGCTGGCGTGGTGCTCACTTTTGTAGGCCCCAGGCTGGTCTCCAGCTCCGAGATCCTCCTGGCTCAACCTCCCAAGTGCTGGCATTACAGGCCTGCGCCACCACACCCGGTTCCTATTTGTCTAACTGTTGATTTTCTTAAATTGATGGCTCTCTGCTGGAATGATTTTGCCTCCATAGTGACATTTGTCTGTGACTGGACGTACCCTTGATTGTCACAAGAAGGTGGCGGGAGCTACCAACATCTAGTGAGTGGAAGCCGGAGATGGCGGGAAAGATCTGACAATGCCCAGAGCACCCCATACGAAGAAGTTCTGAGCTCAAATGTCAGTAGTGCTGAGATTGAGAAATCTTTCTTTTAGTTTTTAAAATACATTATTTTTAAAAATTATTTTTGTTATATTCTTTACCAGTAATTCTAAAACAATAACGGTGGTGTTTTCTATACATAATAATAAAATTTAATGTGACTGAAATTTACACTGATTAATATGAGGGAGCTTACAAAAATTGTATTCTTACAAAATTTTGGTCTTGGATCTAGGAACACTGCTCAATTTAAATTAAAACAAAGAATCTTCATTTTATATTTTTTAAAAGAATTACATATACTAAGAGCAAACCCAATTAATCTGGAGTGCATTTCACACAAAAATAACATCCTAAGGAAAAGATTTTTGAAAACTAATTTGATTTTTAAAACATCAAGATTCCTAAAAGATAATATTTCTACACCTAAGAAAATATTAAGTGTACTTTATCTGCTTGGAAACAAGACTAAAATCTTATTTTTTTTAGCCCTTTCCCTCTTTTATTTCCAAATTTTACACATATTTTATCCTTTTGCTTTAGAAAATACTAAGTAAAAAAATCAATATATTATATTAGTTAATTAATTTGAAGACTTAAAAATCATTTCTCCTCTCAAATTATTGGGCAGATTTTTAACTAAACAGATGGGTTTTAAGCTTTATAAAATTTATATTTCACCGTGTGATAGAGATAAATAATATGTATTATAATCAGAATATGAAGTTAGAAACTTATCTTCTCCTTTTCAAAAAGCTATTGTATGACAGAATATTCCGCAGCCTGCAAACAGATGCAAAAGACAACCATTTCAATTTGAATTACTGTCATTTATTACATATAAAATTCTCTTTAGCTTGCAACACACTTTAATGCCAGATGCATCTGAGTTTTCATATGAATCACATTTTCTCATTCATCTTTCTACGACCTTGAAATGTGTCCATACACATGTTCATGCCACTGCATATATTTATATACCACGCTACACCACACTCATATTTTTAATGTACAGTATTTCGCATTAGAGATCAATGACAAAAATAAATTGTTCTTCATTTTTCAAATTTCTGTGCCAGAAAAGTTAACTGCTTTCTCTGAGCTCATTGAAGATAGAGCAGCAATATCCAAGAAACACAGTATGTAAGCTATTAATGTAATTTAGATTTTTCTAATAGCTTCATTACGAGAATCAAAGAGAAATGAGCGTAGTGTAATACCAGTATATATGGGTATACACCCATAATACTTCAACACACAATTGATACATAAAAATGTATTCAAATATTTCATACTTGTTCTATACTCAGTTTTCAAAATCTGATATATACTTTGCACCTAAAAATATATCTAAATTTGGATCGAACTATTCATTGGAAATACCTGACCAATAGTTAGATTTTAGAAGTTTGCGCTCAACATTTACCTTAAGTCAGTCTAAACAAATGTAAACAGAGAGCAAATTGGTCAAGCAATGGCTGTGACTGATCCACATGGCTGACACTGACAAAGGATCTACAAAGTGCGGTACAGGGTTTCGGGATAAGTCCTGAGGGGACTTGACTGACCTTGTCAGATACGAAAGTTACATTTCTTGATATGTAGGTATTGCTTTATCTTGGTCTTACCCATCCAGCAGAAAAGTGTAGAAATGAGGCATGAGAAGTAAAGCCATTTTAATATGCTGAGCTGTGGAAGGCTCAAGTCAATAGATTCGGACATTGCCAGTCCTGTAGATAACGCACTGCTATTTGGACTTCTGGACTATATTGGAACATTTTGCTGAATTCATGCACCTGCAATATTTGGGTGGCAGTGGAATACCCATCTCTGACAAAACTGAACATAAAAAGGAGATATAAATGAAGGACAATTTTGTGTCTGTATATACAAAATTGTTAGGATAGATATATAGCCACTTTCTTGTAAATCAATAAGAAAGATTTATACTAATAATAATGTTTGGACAGGATATCACATCAGCATGTTGAGCTATGAATGACTACTACAAAGACAACAATATGCAATGTATTAATTGTTGTAACTCTCCTACCAACCTGTTTGGAAACTGTCTCATTGCAATTTTTTCTCAATAAAATAAATAAATAAATAAATAAATAAATAAGCAAATGTAAAAGCACTTGAATAACCAAGTCAGGCACCCAAGAGCCCTTCCCCTTCTTTCTGACACATCCACAAGTAGCTAACTGGCTGGCATGCAGTCACGCCAGCTTCAAACTATGTATCAGCTTTAAAATTCATTCATTCTTTGCCCAACTAGCATTATTAATACTGAGTTTAAAGTCAAAAACTATTTTAAATTTATCAATAGCAATGAATCCTTGGTGTTTTCATCCTTTTGCAGGCAATGTACAGATGCTGTCAATTATAATTAAAATATTTTACATATCCATTCACCTGTAAATCTGTATTATTTTGTATTATGACATCTAAATTTTATTTATTTTTTGATTTACCTTATTGAGAAACAAATATCTTTTTTTTCTTTTCAAAGTTTTATTGATAAACATAAAGCAATGAGACAGTTTCAAATCAAATCGAAAGTACAGTTTCAACAAATAATACACTGCATATATTCTTCTTAATGGTTAATTGCTGTACAACATGCAGACTGTGATCCTACTTACAAACACCATTAGAACAAATCATTCTATTCATTAAGAGAATGCAACTATATACCTATCCCAACCACTTTGAATACACAGATACAAAATGGACATTCATAGTTATATCCCAATTTTTTTAAGTTCCGTTGTTGAATATTATAGGTGTGTAAACTCAGCAAAATATTCTAAAAGTGAGAAACAAATATCAATGAGACAGTTTCAAAACAGATTAGTAAGACAGTTATAATAATTAATACATTGCATATTGTTATCTTCATAGTAGTTATTCATAGTACAAGATGCAGACATGATATCCTGTCCAAACACTATTAGTACAAATCTTTCTTCTCATTGAGTTAAGAGAAAATATCTGTATATCTATCCTATTTTGTATATACAAATATCTACATCTATATATAGAGATATATATATATATATATAGATATGTATATTTTACTACAAAATGGTCCTTCATTTATATCCCCTTTTTTGTTTAGTTTTGTCAGAGATGGATATTCTATTGCCATTTAAATATTGTAGGTATATGAATTCAGCAACCACACTGAAGATAGCTGTGTGTAATACTAAGGTCCTGCGTGGAATGCCTGTCATTCTGGTCTTCTAAATATGTAATGCTTCTAATGTCAATTACTGCTATACTGTCTCTCAAGTAAATGTTTATTTAAATTTTTATTTTAGCGAAGGGTCTACAGGGTGCTCAGAGTCTCACTGCTGAATCGGACTCGTAGCGGTCCGCCTGTTTACAGCCTCCCAAGAGCTGGGATTACAGGCATGTGCCTCCATGCCCAGTCTCAATTGCCCTCTTAGTGCGCTTGGGGGGCAGGGCTGGTACAGCAGGCCTGGGGATCGAACCCCTGGCCCCTGCGCCTGCTTGCAAGAGATTTAATCTGCTGGGCTATTAAGGACTTTTTTTTGGGGGGGTGCTGGCTGGCTCAGGTTAGTGGTATGGCATGTGGAGCTGGGGATTGAACTATGGTTTGCCTGATATTTTCTTCCCCCTGCCACTGAAAATTGAACCCAGAGCCATCACACCAAGCTACATCTCCAACAGGGTCCAAGTTGCTAAACTGTCCAGACTGACCTCAAACTTGTGATCCTCCTGCCTCAGCCTCCCACAGTACTTGGATTATAGGCATGTGCCACCAAGCCTGGCTTGAGCATCATTCTTAATAGGAAAAATGTAGAATACCCCAAATATCCATAAACTGATAAACAACATGTGATATGCTCCTATACTTAGATGAAATATTACTCAGCTATAAGCAGGAATAAACTGATACGAACCTTGCAAACATTACACAAAATAAAACCAGTCACAAATGCCACATATGGTATGTATTTTCCCAGAGAGCAGCCGAATGCAGCTGCACTGGTCCATAAATGGTCCGTAAGTGCTTAGCAGGCCTGCTGTCTCCGGTTGACGGTGGCCGAAAGCCGTCACATGCCTCCTTCACTCTCCCGTCACTCCCACACCTGATGCCCTCCCCTCAACAGCACACGATGCTACCTTTTACTTCACAAAGAAAACAGAAGCAGCCCTCTGTTCTCTTCGTGTCCAAACGCCTAGCCCTGCCAGTTGCATCTTGCTTCTTTTCCTTCCTGGTGGAAGAAGAGGGACCTTTCCGTTCTTCTGCCCTTGCACGGGGAGCTCATTCCACCCGCCTCATCAGGCACTGGCCACCTCTGCTATCACTCCTTCTCTTTCCTAATCAGATCCTTCCCAGCAGTTTTACTCTTGTTTTTTTTTTTTTTTTTTTTTTTTTTTTTTTATTTAAGATAGCGTCTCCTTTTGTAGCTCAGCCTGGTCCTAAATTCTCTGTGTGGCCCAGTCTGGCCTTGAACTCGCAGGATCCTCCTGCCTCGGCCACCTGATTGCTGAGATCACCGGAGCGCACCACCGGCCCGGCCCAGAAGCTGCTGAACCTGTTCAAGCCTTTCCTTTTAGCAATGCACAGCACCATACCTGCAGGATTTGTGGCGTTTCTAGCTACTCACTAAAGTATGACTGCCATTAGGCGAGAATGGAATTGTGCTTGATAATTTATCGTTGGCCAGCTTTGCCATTAGATTCTCATTTAATTGTTGTCTTTTTAATTAGGAAGTATTGACATTAAATCAAATTTTATGCATGATACTTCCCTTGAACTTTCATATTTCGGTCAAATTTAAATGCAGCGTGATCCTATGTGATTTCGTTCCTCTTTCTCAGTGGACAGTAAGTTCACTAACAGCTCTTGTGAATGTGTCCCCAAACTACACAAGAAGAGATCAGTAAATATCTGTTAAATAAATGAATCAATGGATACAGTTCTGTTAAATAAATGAATCAATGGATACAGTTCTATAGGGTGGAGCAAGAAAAGGATTAAACTTTTGTTTAAAAACAGGCTGATGTTGTAGGTGCTAAATATTTTCAAATCTGCTGCACATCGTGATGTTGAAAACGAGCGGTGACATTCTCTGACGTCTCACTTAGGCCATGCAGGCAGGACTCCTGGAAGTGAAAAACGAGCTCCAGTCCCGTGACGATCTCTTGAGAATTATAGAAATGGAGCGGCTGCAGTTACACCAGGAATTATTAAAAACAGGAGAGTGCCAGAATTCTCAAGAAAATAAAAGACGGTATGGCCTTTGGTTTTGAGAGTCTGAAGCTATTCAGAGCATATTTATAGATTTCAAGAGTTGAAACAAGAATAAAAGGTTTATTTCTAATTAGTAGGTTGTTAATCGATATATAAAATTAAATACTAAGATGAGATTATTACTTTATCTCAAAATCGATCTTTACCTAGAAAATTGTATCCTGATTTATAGATGCTTTGTCACAATGAGTCAGAAATGTTTTTAGGACTTTTATTCTTCATGCTACTGTAAAAACAATAGCATACGCTGATATTTAATTATATATGTGGAGATAAGTAAGATTTATTCTGTATTTATCAAATGCTTTCGTTTTGGTTGCCTAAAAGCTATGTGGCTTTCCCTTACCTCCACACTTGTCATCCTGTTAGTTCCAAGAAAGGTCCTTTTCAAAACAAATTATTTCTCTCATTAAAAACAGACAGATACTGCATACCCCATAGTCACAAACAAGATGGGGTTGCTGTGGATTATTAACTGTTTATACTTGTAAATAGACTATTGAGTGCTTTAGCAGCTAATTGATGTAAGACTGTCTTAGAATCACAAGCCAGGGCCAGGGAGACAGCTCAGTGGCATAGCACCTGCCTGGCATGCGCAAGGTCCCCAGTTCAATCCCCGGTAGTGCAAGAAAAAAAAAAAAAAATCACAAAACTAATATCAAGTCAGTGACAGGATCTTAAAATTTAGTAGTGAAATAGTGACAGATACTTTATTGAAAGATAATTATTGTTTTAAAGGCAATTATTCCTTCAAAGTTGCAGGACATGCTCTTGCTTTTAGATTTGTCCTCCACAACAAATGGTAAATTAAGATCCCCAAAATGATCTATCACGTGTCTCGCCAAGGACATCAGGGTACTTGTTAGTGAGTCACCATTACTGAATGCTCCCACTGATGATTAATAAATGTATTCAGTATTCAGTATTCTTTGTGTGAAGTTATTTTTCACCAATTCACCATTGAATTACGTATGTGTAAGGTGCTGCTCCTGTATGGTGAATCGGTGAAAAATAACTTCACACAAAGAAACTAATGTAAATGCCTTAAAACATGAGATGTCTTGTGGAAAAGCACACGTTCAGCCTGTAGCCTTCTCGGGCTTGGTGAAGGGTGTGATGGACACTTTCTCTGGCATTCTTTAATAGCAAGTGCTGAATTCCAGCTATCCCGCCCTCCCTTCGGTATATGAGTTCATCCTGAGTCTTGTATTTATTCACACAGCTAGCCAACTGAAACTCTGCTCCACCTGCTTGCTATCACCTATGTACGTGGTATTTCTTTGGTCTCTGTATCTTTCTTATTTAGAAGAATCCCTCAGTTCTAGTATTCTGAGATTGCATAAAATGTTACATGCTTAACCTTTCATTCTGCATTGTGTTTAGAGTTCTCAGCCTTCCCCTTGGCTACCGCAAGTTCAGATTCTTTTAGTTTGGTCTCAGATGAGTGCTGTTCCATCTGCTTTGTCGTTTTGGTTTCTTTTACTTGGACTTCCATTTCTTCTTATGATTGTACTGCATGCAGTCAAGACTGCTGAAAGCAGATGCACGGTGTCTTGTAGAAGTAGTGTAGCAATGTTTCTATTCATTTTCAGAACTTTTCTCAATAACTCAAATTGTATTAGCTTTTTCTTTTATTAGTTGTAGAAGGACATTAAGCTGATGTGTTTCTGCATTATTAAAAATAACACCAGTATTTTCCTTATATGACAAATAATGATTCCTTTATGTGTTCATTTAACATTTTATGTTATCATGATTATTATTTTCTTACCATCTATCCATATTTGGAGTTTAACCTTTTTTTTATTAATCCACCAAACTTCGCAAGTTTGTCATGAGATTTTTAGCATTCAGCATTTTACTCCCCGAAACTGCTTAGAACAATTGAGAAATAAGGAATTTCACTTTTCACCTTTTCAATTCATTGCCAATTAGAAAGATTTAAGGTTAATTCTGAAATGAGCATTTTCCATTTTATCCAGTATTCTCCCAATTTTTACTTTAGAACAAAAATAAATAGGTAAGATAGAAATGCTTACAATATTAAGTGGAAAATGAAAAGAGATGGAAAATGTACACAGGTATTTTCACTATACAGG